GCAAGTCTACTCATTTGCCTAATACAATAACATTTAGTTTGACGCGAATTTTAATACAAGTATGGTATCATATTTCATAATATAACAAACAATGTAAACTTGCCATACATTTTCCGAACATAACTTCGGCCCCTTTGGACATATCTTTTTCGTAATAATATTATTGGGACCAGAATCGAAAACATTATTTATAGTGTTATTTTCAAGCTTGTGTCTTGGGATTTTCATCTTTTATTTCGGTATTTACAGAATATTTATATTTTTAGCGCGGCGATTAAAACAACACGCTGTTTAGGAAAAACCGGAAATCGATTCTGTAGGTCGGCATGATTTGCATGTGCATCAATCGAGCTATAAACGTGTGTGCGAGTAAAACCCCGATATTTTGAAAAATTCAAAATAAATATTCCTACTCTGTGCCATATTCAAATGAAACTTTGTACATGAAAGCGCTTGAATACAAGCTGTATTTTACTCACATTGACTCTGAGCAAATTCTGAAGAGTTACTAAAGCAGGGTGCATTGCCTGTTAATGGGTTAATAAGAGACCAATGTCAGATGTGTTTGTTAACCCATTTACTGACAGTACTCTGCCACTAACAAATAAAATCGTCTGGTGTTATAGTGTAAATTGGTCTGGCATTAGCCAGAGTTAATGGTTAATTTAATGTCCACTTTTGACCCAATGGCTTCATTTCATGTTGGCTATTTACTCGTATTCCGTGCACACAATTTAAGAATGAGCTTGTGAGCGGGCTTAATTAAATGATGAATGAGAAGGAAACATTCGGGATAATAAATATAACTGAGAATTGTCTAGAAGTATAAATTTTTGCATTCAGTTCATATGCCATAAAGGCAGCACTTTCCTTGCGATAGTAACTCCTAGTAATAGATTTGCACCATTACGTCTCCCAAAAAGGTCTTTTATTTTTTAAAAAGTCCATACAATTTGCTTGCGGTTTAAGATTTGTAATCCGGCCTTTTGCACCATAGCACGTATCTCGTTATTTTCAGGCCAGTGTGAATGCCCGAGCAGGCGTCTTGTTAAATCTTTGTTTGCTGTTCGGTTAAATAGAGAAACTGAACTCTTAATTATATAAAAGTACCTTGAATTTTTAAGTTTAATTAAAAAGCAAAATGCACACTCTGCAGACATGTTCATGAGAATATAATTTTTTGTGCAATGAAATCTACAACACTTGTTAATCATATTGTATGACTGTGTCTAAAAATAACATGTGGGTGTCCCATGGTCTAGACAAGTTTTGTGTCAGGACCTATTTACATTAGGGCCTGAATTTCATGTTAGTTTGTATATAAAGGAGCCCAATTTTATAAGCCTTTTGGTTTCTTTTGGGCTACCTTGCCTTCTCCTATTTAATTACTAAATTTGTAAATACTTAACCTGTGGCAGAATAAATTGATTTGAAATTGAAGTGTTGTACTAACACCAAAAACGGTGTAAATTTCTGCCTTTGTAGAAATGCCAAAAGAAGTGTGAATTTACACATTTGCAAGTGTATATTCACACCACAAGTGTAAATTTACACCAAATTGGTGTAAATTATCTTGCCTCTGTATTTACACCCAAAAGGTGTAAAGTTACATTTACGGTGTAAATATACACCAGTGAGCTTATATATAGGGTGGTGCAATGTGCTTACTGAGCGCTGATCGATATGTTATGCGGAAGTGAACTGGTACAAGGATGCTTTTCACAAGAATTCAAGTAGGAGCGTGGTTTTCACCACCATTATGTTTTTGCTGTTTTTCCTCTAAATATGATATTTTGGACGAACTTTTTAATGGATATTTGTGAAGTACTGTTTTATTAAACGTATGAGGTCTTCCTTTGCTAAAATTGTTTTTATAAACATCAAATTTATGGATATTAACTCGATCGTGTGATGGCTTCCATGGAGGGATAATTTCACCGGGAAAGTATTGCATGTTAACTGCCTGTTCGTGGTGAGAAATTTCAGGTATGTTGAATAAGATAATGCCACCGTTACATCTTAAACTTTTCATAAAAAGTCGAAGTTGATGGACTACAGATAAAATGGCTGGAACTTGTACATTCATCATGGGTTATTCTTAGCGTGTTTAGTTGCTAAATGACAGCAAGAAAACCTAACAAATGTTTTGTTTTCATTGTTCTCTAATTCACTGCAGTCATATAAATGAGTTTATAGCATTTTCCAAAGACATTTTCATAATAAGTATATCCCTTAAACATTTTTTCCTTTGTGGCCAAGTTTATAAAATAGACATTGCAGGCTAATATGCCCAGCGCATTCGGTGATGATGCCTTGCCCGCACCTTGTAAATTTGTTTGTCAGAAAGGCGAGGTGATTCACTGTTTATATTCATAAAAAAAAATCATATTCAAGTTGATGGTTTCTTTGAATTTATTTCAAAAGACATCCTTTTTACAAATGCCATGCAAGATCTGTATTCGATAGAACACATCTAGGTTATAGCGTAAACATACAATAACATGAGCAAAGATGGTCTCTCAGATTTCGCGTCATTTTTCTGTCGTAAGCTAGGTCACCCGTTGCCACTTTTATTTACGAGTGAGTAAAAAGTAGTTTTAAAACAAAAAATGTCAGAATATTTTGGTAAAAGACAAGCAGGAGAGACATCTGCATCTTCTTGTAAGCGTAGAAGAGTATCCACAGCTGATGAAAGCTTAACAACAACAGGGGAAGTGACACCTAAGGAAAATGACAGAGAGCAACCTGTTGCTGATTTTGGAAATTGTTTTGTAAACACTGAGACAACACCAATTGAGTACTGAGGTAAAATTACTTTACAACCTGAAGAATTTCTTCTGTACTGCTTAGTAAAGATTTCGTCACCAGGTAGCAACATTAATTTGGCGAACGGATACACTCCAGAAAAATATTTAGGTATTACACAAGCAGTTTACAATGTATACGGTATCCGTTTTGACTGTGTTAACATACAAAACTATTTCTATCGATCCATTAACAATCTGAAAAAGGGTCTTGGAAAATACAATGGATATATGAGATGGAAGTTTTATTCCAGTTACATCAAAAGAATTAATTATTTCAACACACCAAACACTCCTTTTGAACCTTCTCCTAAATTCAGGATTTATCAACATGCCTGGTAATTTCGAATATCAACCCAGAAATTCATTTTTAACTGTGAAAATTATGGGGTATCTAATGATGACAAACCACTTTCATCAATAACTGATTCTAGGATTACAGATTTAGAAAATGTTCTTCAATTTTTCAACAATTGGAAAGATGAACTTGCTTCCAAATTTACGACAAAATCTGAGATATCATCACATTTTATCACTTGGCAAACAATGTTTGATTTACAGGTGATTCTTGAATTAGTTATTTATTAAGTTCTTTGTATGTTTGCATGGTGATAAAATATAATAATTTTGTTTGTGGAAACACCACGTAAATTTATTACTGCAAAGCTTTCGATCTGTAAGCCCGGATCTTCATCAGTGCTAATAATATGTGACTTAAATTGTTTAATTCACACACTCTTTTTATATACAAAAGTGTCGTGATCTGTTGGCTCGCGTCATTTGAAATTATTAGCACTGATGAAGATCCGGGCTTACAGATCGAAAGCTTTGCAGCAATAAATTTACGTGGTGTTTCCACAAACAAAACTATTATAGTTATTTATTGTATGAAATTGAACTAATATTAACAATTAGATTATGAGCTCATAATGAACTATCACCTCAGGAATCAAGAGTGAAAATAAATCTAATTGTTTAAACTGTGAAATATTACAAAACAACATTTCAAAAAGTTTTCAAAAACATCTTGCCAAAGATATGGCTGTTATCTATTGAGTAATAGATAGCAAGTACTACTTTAGAAGTACTAAATACTTTAGAAGATTTGACATGTTGCCATTTCCATGGTAGCATAACACATGCACATTATTAGAGCTGTTAGTTTAGGGTTTCAGGTTTCGATATTGTTAACTAAGCAGTTAACTAAACAATCTATATTGTGAATTCATATGGGCAAATTATCTATTATCTATTCAAGTTTGGTGTGTGCCAACCAAATTCGAACTAATGTAGACTCTCTGTTATGTGTGATGTGTTAGGTGTGTGTGGAGTTCGTATTATTGCTGCGCATCAGACTTGAATTGACTCTTGGACTTTGCGCCTTTCACAAATCTGCCCAGAGAGTCTACATTAGGTTGAGATCCGTCGTAACGATCCTGAGTGAGAAGTTCAGCAAGTGCCAAAGCAAAAGGTGCTGCTAAAAAGGCAGCGTTAGAAGCTAAAGCAGCATCGCTTCAAAGATTGCATGAACTTCAGTTTGAGGAATTGAAACTTCAATAAAGAAAGGCTGAAATAGAACTTCGAGCTGAGATAGCTGTTGCAGAGCCTGAATGAAAGGCATACGAAGAGAGTGAAGTCGAAGAAATGTATAGTCAGGTAAAGAAGAGCACAGTTTCGCATGAACATACGAGTAGTCCTGCTATAGGATCGAGCAAACAACAAGCTCAGCCTAATATCCCCAATCTACTGTAGAACGATCAGTTAGAAAACCCTATTCCCTTTAAAGTACCTCTTGATCCTAAAGAATGGAACGGCGACAAGGCAGTTCAAAATGATCAGAGCACGAATAATCACCATGAATGTTTTTATGACGAGTCATTCCAAATGCTAATGGAAACACAAGATCGTCAAAATACCGTACTGCGGCAGTTGATTGAGCAACAACAACACAGTGTTATGGGGTTAACATTACCCCAGCCCACGATGCAGATCTTTAATGGTGATCCGACCAGCTGCTGTGATTATGTTCGTGCCTTCGAACATCTTGTCGAAAGAAAAACCACAAGTCCCAGTGCGCACAATTGTACTATCTTGTGCAATACACCTCGGGCCACGTACAAGAATTGATGAAGAGCTGTCTTTCAATGAAACCTAGTGAAGGATACATGGAAGCAACATGGCTATTAAGGGAAAGATATGGTCAAAGCTATCAGATTGCATCTGCGCATGTTAAATTGTTTGATCAATGGCCCTGTCATAAAGCCAAACGATGGTGTCGAGCTCCAGAGATTTTCCATTCAGCTAACAAGTTGTGCTAACACGTTGAAGGAAATCGGCTGTATTGGGAAACTCGATAACTCAAAGAACTTGAAAAGGATCATCAACTGTCTTCCTACCGCGATACAATATAAATGGCGAGATGCAGTTGACCGGATCGTGGAACAAGAAAGAAGAGACATAACAATCAATGATGTCATGAAGTTCGTAGCAAGTCGAGCGAGAGCTGCAAATTATCCTGTTTTTGGAAAAGTAGGCAGGGAAAGAAAGGAAAACATTGATCCTGACCAAAGGTGACCATGTCCATCCGGAATCAGAGCAAATGGATTTGCTGCTCACTGCAAAGAAGAGAACCAAGAAGGAGCAATGAAACGAAGGACATGTCCATCATGTAAACAGAATCATTGGCTTTCGCATTGTGAAAGGTTCTGTAAACAGTTGTTAGAAGAAAGGCAGAAGTTTGTAAAGGATGAGAAGTTAATGCAATAACTGTCTACTTCCTGGACATTATGTTCGCTCCTGCATGAAGCAGAGTTTTTGCAAGGTTCCAGAATGCAATGGAAAACACAGACCTTTCTTCATCCGAAGAGCAACACAGACAGCAAGAAGACTGCTTACATCAAGATGTCCGTAAAGCCCAATATCTCAACACGCAGTTCGTCAGCTACAGCATTATTAGCTATTGTCCCAGTTCGAGTGAAAGCGAAAGGTGGGTCAGCGTTCGTAGAAACTTACGCATTCCTCAATTCAGGATCGAACACTTCGTTCTGTACTGAAACCCTACTGAAGCAACTGAATGTAAGCGGAAGCACAATGAATCTATCATTGACAACAATACAGGGAGAAAATGTACCTGCTCAATGTTCTTTGGTAAGCCTCAAAGTTTCCGACCTTAATGCTGTAAATCACGTTGATCTACCAGTGGTGTATTCAAGACCATTCATACAGTGCTGCCACTGTACCGCAATTGCATCAGAAATTCCAGGAGAATTGTGGTGAAGAGAAACACAAGGCCATCATTCTCCATATTGGAATGAATGACCTGGTGCGGGAGGATGCTGAAAATGTTGCAAAGAAGATGGATGTCCTAATTGAGGAGGTGAAGAGTTGAGCAGAGAGAGTTGCTGTGTCGAGCGTTATCGAGAGGCAGGTACCCAGCAGAAATAATCAGCATTTTTTTCACCAAACTGGACGGCATAGTTAATATAGATATGTCAAATGACAATGTGAGTAGCAATCTTTTGACTAGCCTTAATTCTATTCCCAATGAAAGAGGTTTTAAGATGGCCTTTTTAAATATTGTCACTTTACCTAGTAAAATAGATGAAATTCGTCATTCAACGTGTAGCAAAAACATTGATTTAATTGCATTCAACGAGACACGACTGGACCTGAGAATTTCTGATGGCCTCATTCATTTAGATGGTTATGAGGTTGTTAGAAAGGATCGATCCCGCAATGGAGGTGGAGTTTGTTCATACCTTCGTAGCTCCATCAATTACAAAATAAAATCAGATCTTATTCCCCCTGAATTGGAAGCTGTTTGCTTGGAAATTACTAAACCACAAAGTAAACCATTTATTGTCACTACAATTTATCGACCACCAAATGCAAATGCAGAATTTTTTGACCATTTGGAAAAACTTATTAAACAAATCGATGATGAAAATAAAGAAATGTACATCTTAGGTGACTTAAATTGCAACTTGTTAGAAGAAAAAACTCTTTTCAATATGCCAACAAACAAACTAAACTCATTATATGAATTATATATGCCTGCTCATTTGTAGCAATATTCATTCTCCTGAATTTCATTCAATTTAAAACATCACATCTATTCAATTTAATATAAATATATATATTCAATTTAATCCTGCAATTATATGTTCAGTTTAATCCTGCAATATACGTTCAATTTAATCCTGCAATATACATTCAATTTAATCCTGCAATATACATTCAATTTAATCCTGCAATATTCATTCAATTTAATCCTGCAATATCCATTCAATCTTGCAACACTCGCTCCGAAATAGACGTTGGCTCTCGGCCGTAAGTCGGCAAGCGAAATTTCATCGGAAAACTGAATATTACAAAGCAATATATGGAAACATTGACACTGGATTTCCCACCATTTTTCTGGGAAACCATATTGCTTCTTTGCTTTGCATTTACGCAGTTAAATATATTAAAAAATACATTAATTTCCTTTATTCACTTTTAACTGAAAAGTGTTGTTGGTTCTAGTAGTTTATATGGATCGAGATAAGCTAAATTGTCTCGCTGGGATCGAGATAAGCTAAATTGTCTCGAAGTGTTGATGAAACTCATGAAAGTACAACCTCAAGCAATAACACTACAAGGATCGACAAGAACAAGCACTGATTCAGAGACACCATCTAGGGATGCTAGGGGTCGATCAACCACGGCTTCATCATCAGCCGTTTCTGCCAGCAACTCGATCACCGAAGCCTTATCTAGAGCTAGGCAAATGATGACGGCAAGTTCGAATTCTGGATTGTATAGACGATTGAATCGCAATGAGCAACTTTGTGCAACAGCATCCCCATCAATGGGAAGACCAAAAAAGAAAGCTAGAATAGAAAAAAACCTTTCCAATTTGCGTTAATCAAAGCAGTGTCATCTGATGATGATGATGAAGAAGAAGAAGAGCAGTTGGAAAATTTGAAAAAGGAGAATATTATTGAAAGAGGAATCATGGAATTATTGGAGGATGATAGTGAAAAGGAAATTTGGGCAAAATTGCTATCAAGCCTTAAAGGGACTTATTCCATTCTTGGACAGAACGATTTTGAATTTGTGAAGGTCACCCAGAAAAAAATAACAGTGCTAAAAATGGCAGAAGGTGCTCAGTGTAACTATGCTGTGGTAAAGAAACTGGCAGGTCAAGGCTTATTATACATCAGAATCAAGAAAGGGTTTGAATTTGTCTTAAATAAACCCCCTAAGTCGAATGATGAAGATTTGGTGACTGTGATTGATCAGGTTGAGCAACCTGGTATGTCTGAAACAAATACTTCAAGTGTCATGTCTCCTACGTTGCTTTCAGAGAGTCATTATACTACCTCACATGTAGTTCAACTGCAATCATGGAAAATTGATGAAAGATATCAAACAATTATTGCTGAATTCCCAAGTGACATGAACGATACTAGTAGTGAGATGCTTAGATATTATCAGGGCAAGGTTCATAGAGGAAGGCCATTAGATATAGTTGATGAATACACAGCGTTAGAAGGCGAAACAAATTTTATAACTGTGGATCGAGAAAACATTTTGCAGACAACATTTGAAGAATTAAAAGAAATTGAAGATCCTGCTGTTACATTTGAAGTAGATTTCTATAGTGAAAGAGCTCAGGATAGCGGTGGTCCTTGACGAGAGTGGCTTAGATTATGCAATCGAAAGGTAAGATTAATGTTTGTTCAAAGCTCAAACTGTGTATGGTTACAATTCTATGCACACTTTGAGCTACAATGGGAAAGACTGTTATTTGTTAATGTTTGTTCAGATAGAAATTTGTCAAATACAAATACTTTCATTGGTTGATTAATATTATCTTCCTGTAATGGATATTAAATCTAAAACATAAAATACTCTGGGATTAAAGTATTAGAGGTCAGGTTTGAAGAATATGGAAAACATTTTTCCTTAGCGGCTTAGCTATAGGTCTGTGCCATGGCTAGGATTTGGCTGGTATAGGTGGCCCTGTGGCAGAATATTTCATATGGCAGGGAATATCTTAAAGGATTAGTGTCAGGGTCATGCATTGCGGGCTTGTATTATTGTTTACATTTGAATTTGACTAGAACCAAGTCCCCAGAAATTGTAGCTTCAGCGCTGCCTGCTTGTAAAGTCAATATGGCGGTATAAATCTAAATTTTATTTGCATTTATTTACATAATATATTATGGCAAGTGAGGAGTCAGACTCTGATTTAAATGTTGAAGTGTACGACCCAGAGGACAATGTAAATGTTTATGGGTCCCCGGTGGCTGTGGAAAACGAATATCTGAAAGGCACGCCTGACAATGTAGCTGTTGTGTCTGCTAGTCCATCTGGAAATCATGCAAATCGCACTCAAGTAAGTTTAATTTACCGCTGTTTTTTAAAATAGCTTCACAGAAAAAGACCATAACGACGTTTTCTTTTCAGTTCTGTAGTTGCAAAAACACATGTTCGAGAGGCAGCGGCCGTAAGAAGCGCGGATGCCCTTGTAGAGATGAAGGACTACGTTACATAGAGCAATGCACTTGTGGCACAAAAAAGACATCATGTAAGAATAGGATTTGTGTTGCTACAACTTCTGAAGCAAACAATGCCGGGCGAAACACGTTTGAACATCACCAACTTGCTCTGGAGGAAGCACGACAACAAATTACGGTACAGACATGAATTGTTTTGCCAATGTTTTGTGACCATGTCTTCTTTGCTTTTGTCCAAATACACATTTGAACAAGAACAGTCTGCCGTATATGTTTTTACTAGTTAAAGAGAAAGATCATTATACCCTTGTTTTCACTCCAAATATAATGGAAAGCAAATATCCTGCATTTTGGCCTTCATTTGAGTGTGTTAACAACGTTTGCCCTAGTACTAAGGTCTTTCCATAGCTTTACTTCTAGCTACTAATTCCATGCAGGATAAACATGCTCAGGACTATGCAAAACGGAGAGGGGGGTTGACAGAGAAACCTAAATTTATGGTTTTTAGAATGTCAGTGTTAATTATACTTTGGATATTTGGGGCTTTTTTGACGTGGTAGGCCAATACTGCCCCCTGGTGGAAAAAATCATGTGTATGGCTCTGAACATGCTGTACAATACTGTTGAACTGGCATAGATTAAGAACAACAATGTCAGTGTATTTTCATTTTATTTCGCATCAATTTATAATTATTTGAATTTCAAATTTCAAGTCCCCCTAATTTAAATTAAACAACTTATTCAGCATTGCAATATGCCATTGGCCCCACACACACATCCTGTTCTGTAAAATTGTTTTAGGACAACTATTTTTTACAATTACTTGATTTGTTTAGAAATTTCTTGGCACACTAAATGAGGGCCAAAAAGATTCTATTTTGTTGGAATTGCTCACCAATGGCAAAGGAAGCTTGGACTATGCCAAGAATATTGTTCAATTTGGCATGCCCCCTCCTGATTTTCCTTCATCAAAACCCTCATGGTGTACATGTGGGGTATGCCGACCAATGGCCAGCGAAGAGGAAAACAAATGTTGTGGGAAAATTCGATGTGTAACATCTTTCATAACATTTGAAAATTTTGCACTGATCGAGATGTCCTTATCATGGAAATCCGGGGAAGATGTGACATAAGAGCAGAAGAGCCTGATTATTCTACTGCCAGTTTAAGAAAAGCTGCTTACAGACAGTTTATATCATGGCGTTATAAAAAGCTAGGGAGAGGCAACCGAAGGGTGTGGCCCTCCTGCGTGGTATTCAGTGGTGTAGCTAGCGGTCATGCTGGTCATGTTGAGCATGCTGAGCATGACCAAAAATTTCCCCAAAAATAAAGAATTTCTTTCCGCTAAAATTAAAATTAAAATTTTTTTAGCTTTTCGAAACTTTCACAAGTACTTTAGACAAGATTTCGCTATCATATGTCATTTTCGGCAAAATATTGCTCATTTGCATAGGTTACCTAGCAACAAACATGGCGAGTTCGTGTGAATTTCGTGTGTACAGCATGTTCCACTCATTTCGCGGTCTAGTCATGCCCTCTGAAATCAGCATGACCAAGTAATATATTTTATAGTAGAAATACTGGCAATCTGACTGGATAATGGCAACTGCGCATGCTCAAACGTGCTGTTTCGCAACATCTAGTCATGCTCATTTTCCAGAGCATGACTTGAGCCTTTGATACAGTCTTTCTGTTCGAGATAATTCGCGCTCGAATTAGTCGAATACTCCGTTCAGGTGTCAACTGATCAAGGTAAGTGAATTGGCATTGTATTAATTTGCATTTTAATGGCTTCAGGAAGCGTGACGGCTTCCACAGAGGTAGATATTATAAGTGATGCTGAAGAAACCTTAAATTCTCTGCTCGTCAATCAGGCGAGCAAAATATAATTGTAACACAACGGCCAATGCCGAATTTACAATCGACCACTGGAGATAGAAGCTCTCAGGAGAGTTGATACACAAAGAAAGATTGGCTTTGTGGTAGTTTTACTTAATGTTTATTAACCAAGAAGGCAATGTTTTGCTGGCCATGTTAATATGCACCTATCAATGTTAAGCCCCAGAGATGGGGGGTCGGGCATATGTCGGGTACTGGGGCATTTGATTTTTTAAGCAAATTTTCAATCAAATGCCCCACCGTCGGGCAATAAATATTGGTCAAATACTTCACCATTTTGCAATAAATTGCAATAAATACTATATTAATAAAAGTCATTTGGTTCACATTGCCCTGACTCAGAAGCCCACCAAGGGGTTATGACCGACAGGCGACAGACTATGTACAAAAGAGTGACAAACGACAGCTTCTGACTGGGAAAAAGGGAGAAATAGTGATTTGTGTTATGAGTCAAAAGTGACAGTGACATTTATTGCAATAAAACAAGTGACAAAGCAGCTACAAAATGAGTGACAAGCGACCTGGGTTACACCCTTGATGGGCCTCAACTCAGGCCCAAAATGCTAATCAAAATCCCCAGGGTGGGGATGCAATTGATTATAAAATACCCCATATATGCCCGACCCCCCTCAAGGGCTTAACATTGATACAGTAGGTACATTATTATAGTCCCTTGAAATTATATCAGGGAATATTAGATTTATAGGGGAAATATCTCCATGAAAGTGGTGACCTCAAAATAAAATTTAATATTTCTTTTACCATAATTACCAATACCAGAGTTATATGCCTGTATTGTAAAAGCTCACTCACACTCAATGAGTGGAGGTTTAATCTGAGCTTACCTTGAGTGTCAATTGTTTTTGAATAGGTGGAGGGTGAGTATAGTTTCCAATATTTCATTGAGGACCAAAAGAGAGACTTCCAAGTTTGAAAGCAAATTTTTTATGTATCTATATTAAAAAAGTGTATGCAAAATTACTTCTTGATCAACTATAATTAGGATATACTTGGTCACTATAAATTGTTACTTTTAAGATACACATCCTTATATAATCCATGCCACATCCGCACATGGCTTTCATATAAACAAGCTATCAGTACTCACATCAGAAAGAGATAAATTTCCCATTTACACTTCTAATTTTGTCACACAAATCCTTCCAAGAACTTTCTAAAGCCTGCATCGTCCTGCTTTCATCCAAAGATTTATCCATATTTGAGAAAAATGTCCATTTTACCTGTTTGCCAAGTTTTTGACTATTCTGCCAACTTTTCAACACATGATTCCACATTCCCTCGCATTTCCGACATGTCTGTCAATGCCTAACCTGCAAACAGGCATATTCTCCCATACTAACTCAAATATAACGAGGGACTGGAAGAGTCAGCCAGGACACCCCCACTGTAATACCACACCCCATGTATACTTCACGTGCAGGTATACTGTTTTAAATAGATTTAAATATCATTGAAGTTCATGCTAGTTAAATCAATAAGTTATCTTCTCTAATGTACAATTAAGCATCCTCTCCAATAAATACCACTCAAATGTGCCAAGGGGGGGGGGCGTATTACAGTACTTGTGGTGCTGTGTAACCCATCAAATCATGTGGTGACATCTAGACTACAGTGCATGAAGTAAAGGTAAAGCTAAAAATATTTTATTGATGAAGTTTAATATGTTGAAATAACTGGCATCCAAACTGCAGTTTGAAAAAAAAAGCACAAGAAAAACGGAAAGACAAAAACACAGACGGGCTTTTGTGGCATATATTATGGGCAAGGAAGTACTCGAACGGTCTAGAGGCTCTTGCTAACCTCTGTTTTACCTAGAGGAACAGGCGTACCTCCAGATTGCAGAGGGACGTGACGCGGCTCTGTGCATGTTGTTCAGCGACATATGAGTCCTGATGGTCTGGGGACCACCATTGGTATACTGAGACAGTATGGGTACTCAAAACCTGACAGAGCATGCAACAACTGTAGGTTTTTCATAGAGGAACAGGTGAACCTCTAGATAACAGGGGAACACCCCAGTCAGCTTGTTGATGATGAGTACTAGTTGAACTGGTGAACAACTGATGGTAACTCAACTGAAATGACTTACCCATCGAGTCTCTAGGTCAAGTCATGAGGTCACACTGCGACCTGAATGACCTGTAAAAATACACTTCATGAGGTGAAGTGATGTCCAAAAGGTCAGCATATTTCCCTACCATTATTTATTTATTTCATTCTGTAATTCTAGTACAGATGTATAAGTTATATATTTACATAAATGATTAAGCAATTAGGCTGAATTGGATTGTATACCGGGTGTCCCAAAAAAAACTTGCGGTATTTGATTTCATGTAAGGTAAAAAATATAAAATCTATTACACTCAAATAAGTTTTATTGTATTGAGGAAAGGCTAGCTTAGATTTTGATATACAGCCCTAAAAATTTCAGGTAATATTATGTGAGATACAAACGTTTGAATGTGGCACACAGTTTAAAAATGAGTAAAAAAATCGAGAAACATGGCTGATCAAGTTTATATGAAAACAAATTGCCATTTTCCACAAAAATTAACAATTTCAATTTCAGCATCTCAACTTTAATTTTGGGTAATGTCCTAGTATAAGTTAACCTTTTGTGTTTCTTGGGAAGCGAAATAAGCATGAAACATTTAAAAACGTTCGAAAGCATATTTGACGTCCTTTGAGAGTTTGTATGATAAAGTTGGCCGTCATTCACCTTTCGAATATGCTTCGATTAATAAACAAAAGATCAAAGAGTTTGGGTTTTATGGTTTCCTGTGCAAAACATTGTATACATGCAAGGGGACATACTTTCTATGATAAATGAATAAATGTTTATCCAACAATTATGTTTTTCATTCGTTCTTTTGACCACAATAAAACTATATAACCAAGTTTAACCAAATAATATTTGATAGGCAATTTTATGCAAATTTTTAACATTGTCAAATATGCTTATTCGATTTAAAACATCGATAGCTCAGTAAATATTGCACAGATATTCAAATGTTATATATCAAAATCTAAGTTAGCCCTTTCCTCAATACAATATAACTTATTTGAGTGCAATAGCTTTTATAGTTTTCCCCTAGCCGATGGCACGAAGCACCGTGCGAGGGTACTAATTCCCCCCAGCTATTTACACCCGGGGAAACAAAAGCATTAGCGAAGTCTAAAGTTCATCAATTATCGCGAGCGTGGGTCACCAACGATGGTGGGGTGTTGGGTGGGTGGTCATCCTCACTGATCTCAAAAATATTGCGGACTGTCATGAATAGCGGACACTGATTGGTCCAATTTAAAGTTTGCATTATAACGACTGCATAACGACAGCAAAATAGCAAACATTTCTTGATTTGATATGTTTGATAAATTTCTTGCAAATATATTTCATTTTTGCAAGATTTTGTAAATTTCAAAAGCTCTCTCGGAAAGAAACTGCAAAAGAATTGGCTAAAAGAAGGGAGCCGACGTTAACAAAGGTAAGTTTGTTTTAAATATTGATTTTATAATGGCTTTTAATAAAACCCGACAGCCTTTGTGTATATAAAACAACTAAACAAGACAGCATATAATTTCAGTGTATCTTTAATATTGATTCCCTTTTTATGATATTGAATTTTTTAAATAAAAAAGAAAGCAAAGTTATTTGCAAGCGAGAATTTGAAATCATTTTATTGCAAATTCAAAAGTTTATCGATAAAGGTATTAAAGCCATTTTAAAAAGGCAGAAGCATTTGTGATTGAAGTTTACCTTAAATTGAGGCTTATATTACGTATAATAACATACCTAACATATATAATTTGTTGGGAAATTAATAATTTTGTAATTAAAAGTGATATTTTTAGGCTACTTTTCATTTGTAAGAATATTCTTAAAAAATTATCGTGTTACCATTACAACTACTGTAGATACTTCATGTTCGGAAAATACAATGGTTTTGTCAGCAAGGTGAGGGTTTCTGCATGCATGTATTTTCTAGTTATGTTACATTAACTCAAACAGCACAACTTTTTTTTGGGACACCCGGTAGATCAAAAGCATGTCAATCTATAGACAGTATAAGCTGGTAGGTTCAGCTCTGGGGTGGTGGGTGAGTTTTTTTGAAAACCAGGTTTTGGTAGCTTACGCTCTGCTTAAAATATTGCGAATGAAGCGTGAAGCCTATAACTAAATGTCTTTCAATAAGAATGGGGCCATTGTATTGTT